AAGCCTATAATACTGTGAGATTGATTTCTTTAGCAAACACTTTTATAATATCAGTTTATGATGTGTGAAACAACTAATTCCTATGGTTATTATCATTCACATTGTGCAGTGGCTAATTTGACTGTGGGTATATTTCATAAAGCGAGAGAGCTGAGATTTATGGCACTGCTCCTAGTAGAATGAAAGGAAGAGCATACTGTCTGCCAATAATGAAATGAGAAATAACTCTGTTCAACCTCTTTTTAACAGCAAATTAAGCTGTCTCATCTCTTATAGAAAGTATCAAACTTTCTATAACTAGCATAAGCATTTGAATCAGATAAAGAGATATTGCTAAAGATTAGCTAGTCCAGGGATAGTGCGAGGATGAAAACTAAATTCGTGCTTAATAGGGACTTTACCAAAACTCCATGCATCTAGTTTTTCTTTTTCTTCTGTGACAGTAGACTGTGCTTTGTAAGTACAAAAGCTCTAGCAATTAATTCTTACCACTGTATTTGGATAAATTTAGATGCACATGAATGCATATACTTATCAAACTTGTGGATTTAGAAAGGTCTGAATTGGATTTCAGCATTTTCTCACCTAGAAACAGATTGCCGGTGCAGTTTTCTATTGTGTTTTTTCTTCTTGTGTGCACCTGTAAGTCATCTATTCCCAAAATTTAGCTGTCCAGTGATAGGAATCTTGAAGATGGAGTCAGATCATATGATTTTGGAGAAGTAAACTGAATTAATCTTACTGTCTTATTGAAAAATACTCCAGCTAAGACTAATTATTTTATTTGACTCAGGTTTGCTACCATCTGCTCCTTATCCTGCAGACCTTTACAAACATTACAAAAAACCGCCCCAAAAGCTTCGGAAGTAGAATGTACAATGCCTTTTTTTTAAATTAGCCCTTCTCCCCTCAAAAGAAGATCCTAGTCTTCCTTTCCTAGGGCCTTTTCTGTTCATGCATATGCATATATGCATGTGCGTGTGTGCGTGCATGCGCGCACGCACACACACACACACACACACACACACACTGTAATGTACAGTAATGTAATGTAGTCATACATCCCTGAATGGTATTAACATTCTTTTGTTATTAACAGGAGCCTTATATGCAGGTTACAGAAGTGATTCTTACATTCAGTCAGCACTAGCAAGGCCTCATCTAGAGAACTGTGTCCAATTTTGGGTACCACACTTGAAGATGCAAATGAGTTGGAAAGAATCTAGAGGAGGGCAGAACAAAAATTATTAGAAGTCTAGAAAACAACATAGGAAGAAATGCTGAAAAAACTGGGATTATTAATTCAGAGAAGGGAAAAGTGAGTGGGGGAATCTGCTAAATTTTCAAGTACATAAAGGCTAGGGACAGAAATTACAAATAAACTGGTATAAGTGATAGGAAACCAGTTCAAATCTGTAACACAACAGAAGTTCAGTGCACATAAACTACTTTCAAAATGGCCGAAATTAGTTTAAGATAAACTTGGATGGATGTAGTATTAGATTTAACTGTTTTAGGCTAAATTGGTATATTGAACTTCCGTCCCAGATTCCCTCCAGATTCAAGTTAACTCATAGTCCCCCAGCATGCCAGGATGCTTTGCACCTCCCTCGCAGGGTGGGTGAGTTAGATTTTCTCAACTGTCTGCTGCAGCTGAGCAGGGAGGCATGATCTAGTGCTCCCTAGCTTCTGGCCTGGGCCACTACACGCATGTGGCTGCATGTCCAGAATCAGAAGTGAATATCTGTTCACTTGCTTATTGGGTTAATCTACCTAGATTAGACTAACCTGCAAAGATTGAATCGAGTCAGCCTTGGGGTTTTTGTCTGTCTGTACTTAGCCAAAGGGTTATAAAGAAAATGACAATTGTCACAACCCAAAGTTGTGGGTTTTTTTGTTTGAGTGTGCTTTGGCATCGCTAAATCATGTTCCCGCCAAATTGCAGCTCTTTTGCACGGTGGAGTGTTCTGCTGCAACAGAGGCCCCGCGTGCAGGAGCTTTTCCCGCCAGTTCTGTAGCTTTCTTTGCATAGTGCATTTCTTTTGCATTATAGCAATGCGCGATGCAAGGAGTCACTGCCATTTGTATTGGGATTCACGCCACATTATTGGCCAGTTTTAATGTAAGCACACGTGGCGGCTAGCTATTGGCTTGCTAGCCGTACAAAAGGCTTGGGTGGTTTCCGCCCAAATCGGAAGGAGAGAGAGAAAGAAAGCACGTGGAGTTCGGGAAAGGAGCG